TTTCTGCTTAAAGATAAAGGGTAATGAGGGAATCACACTTTTATTAACAACCTATTTCAACTTCTCACTTCAAAATTACTCTTTATTTTAAGAACATGAAAAAACAAAAACTAAATGTTCCAAAAGGAGACTTTAAGCTTTGGACCAAGGGAAGTATTTTGCTATTTTTTGCTGATCAGACCTCCTGAATCTTGTTTCTTTGCACAGCTCTGATTTCACTGAAACCAGTAAACGTCTACAGCTGCATTTTATACCTGCTATATTTTTATTTCTTTCAGTTTATAAACAAAACCAAAAAGAATCAAAGGGTAGATACCCTCACAGATTCTACAGCAAAGGAAAAAAAATATACCAAAGATCTGTATCTCCCACAAATATTGCCTCGAATAGACAACAGTGTAAAAGCACATCTGTAGTATCTCAGATTTCAGCTGTCAACCAAAGTTGGGAGCAAGTCCCAAACCTTTCTCAGTGACTCCTTTGTGGGGAGCTTCGGTTGTTGATAGACACAGAGGACCAGCTTGCACACGAATGCCTGGCCTGTTAGGGAGAGGTGAATTTAACCCCGTCAGCAAAAGGGCAGTACAACACTTCCTGAAAGGTTCCTCCAAGCAGAAGGCCAAGCAGATTCAAAACAATGAGTTAAAAATAGTTTCAGATACGAAACTCGTCCTTGAGTTTCACTATCAGTTTTGGTGGTTTTACAATAACACTTTTCCATTTTAGAAAAATAATTCTCTGGCTACTGCCCTATTAGAGATTAACCATGTGCAGAGATGCTCTCTGACTGCGAGGCCAGCTGTCCTGTAAAATCCTGCAGGCTATTAAGCCCCCCTAGCATCCATAACATTCTGGCTGCATCCAAACAGCTCACTGGGATTAGTTCCTAGCCCCCACTGGCTCCCAAAATATGCCCTCAAATGTTTTGGGAGTGTTGAGCAGCTTGGCCAAAAGTGTGCCCAGGACCCCTCTGGCCACGTGAGAGCAGAGACATTCACCTTACAGTGTCCGTGCTCGGCCCCTGCCACTGTTCAACTTCCAGTCATCGACAGGGCCTTTCCACTCTCTGTTTCGCAGCCTTCTTTCTTACAAAGGGAAAGGGAAAACTTGTGGGCCATGCAAAGGGAAAGTTCTGCTCACCATGTGTATATATATATATATATGTATATGTACTGTGTACAGACAGAGAATATGTTCAGGGTGCCAGGAAAGCACAAAGGAGCATGCATTTTTTTTCAAGTAAAATAAGGTTAGTTCAAGGCAAACAGAAGTACATTATGTATTCCGGGGGTATATTTATAAGTGTTTATTAAAGGATGCTCTGGCGATGCAGCGGTGCAGCAGGGCTTATTGAGAGGCACCACAGCTAAAGCAGGCAGATAGGTTGCAGAACTTTCCCACTTCCCAGCAGGTCACATCTCCTGGCTTGTGGTGGACTAGGTCACACAAAATTTGAACGCTTCCATTCTGTGTCACTGAGAAAGGATGGCTTCCTCCACTTCAAGAGTTTTCATGCATGGATCCTTACGCAGGTGACTTCTAGATCACAGTTTTTAAAATTCTCTAGCCATTTTCTTCACTTGAAAAGAATGAAGTTAAATAATTATCCTGTATCTACAGGCTGAGCTATTTTTTATGTCTTTTTGAACCTCCTTTCAATGTTAATTCACTCAAAACTTTACCTGCCATTTTAGTTCCGAAATAAAGGTCAGGCTAAGCTGAAAATGTATCACAGCTACCCTGAGCTGCCAAGGAAGAGAGGAGGAAGCAGTGGATAAATATCCCTGCACAGGCATGGTCTCACATTAACATAACCAAAATTACATGCTGCCAACCAAATTCAACTTGCTTTATATTTGTGACTTCTTAAAATCCTATTTCAGCAGGGATAAAATCAAAATGGATTTCATTTGTCTCGCTGCATCTAGCCAAATACATTACCTTACTCAGACATGCACAACCCGATTGGTAAATAAGGCAAGAAAGTTGCATATAAATAGAAAAATCAAAGTGTCTGTTGAGCTATTGAAAAGCTGTCTGAGAAAATATTTTTCCCAGCAGTTATGTAATGTCTAAGCATTACTTATTTGTTTACTTAAATATTTTTCAGCTGCCTACAGGGAAGCGTAGGTGACTGAAAAATTTATCTGGACTCGTTCCCTCACACATGGGGCTGGGCAGCACAGGGGCTCCAGAGCCCTTTGCAGCATCCCCGGCACATGGGGACTCCGATCCTCTCCTACACACTGCTCCCGAGCAGCGCCTCTACCTCCTTCAACGCAACCCACTCCCACGCTTTTTCCTAAATTGCTTCGGTAGTGGCAGAAATGGATTTTTCAAAGGCAATAGGATGCTGGAGAAAATCCACTGATTATGCATCACGAGAATGCATGGGGATTATGCAGAAGCTAAAAAGCAATTTTCATAGGTGTGAATGCTGATAATGATCAAAAGCCTAAGGTTTTCTCTGCATCTGAATTACTCAAAATGATACTGTTACTGCGTTTTAGTCATTTGGACATACGGGGAATGGCTAACCAGCTCTCTTCCTAAGAGGAGAGCTCCTTCATCTCGAAATCCATCTTTTAAGACAGCTTATCAGTTATTCAGAGAAAATTATATATATAAATTTTAAGTATTCTCTTATGCTCATTTTTGCCAACCCCTATTTTCCTTCCACTCAGGGTTCTAGCTGTAGTGAAAATGAGCTGTAAGTTCAATCTCATTCCACTTAAATTCACTGCATAGCCCAAAAATAAGAGATTTTTTTATCTATATTTATTCACATGCATACAGAAGGGCTTTTAGAAATGAAAGGGGTTTTTTTCCGTCTTTCCTAACTGAAACTTTTCCAGAGCACAGAGCAACTGTTGGTAAATACAACTGTGTAGGACAAACAAGAACAGACTAGCCAGTTGGATCTTAGAATTTCAGAAAGTTGGGACAAAGATCTCCTATTAAAAAATCTTTCCTTACCTGAATTATTAAGAATATTTTATATTTTTAAACCTTAAAAAGCTCTGCTAAATTAAATCTAATTTGAGGAATACAGACACTCCTTTATTTTAAAATTTAATCAAGTAGACAATCAAAAATTAGTCAATTCAGGGTATTTTTCATTCATCTAGGATTTTCTTGCATCAGCACAGTACTTCAGCATTAGTATATTGCTGCCTTACAGAAATGCTTGAACTCAGTTGAAATTATCTGCCTCTGTATCAAGTTCTGTAATTCACTTAGCCAAATGTAATTTAAACCTTGCTGTCCTACTATATCTTTTTTTATTATTCATCCTGTGCAACATCATCAAGCATATGCCAAGCCAACAGTATAAATTAAAAAAAAATGCATCAGTAGTGTGTCAGTCTATTCTAGGCCTGCACAACTGCCCTGGTATGAAATGGCCATTTTTAGAAAGCCTGTGTACAGCTGGGGGGGGTATGCACTGATTGCCCTAAGATGGCTGTCATGCCTGCAAAAAAATCTTTATTACAATTGTACCCTTTGACACTAATATCATTACATTTTGGGGGAGCAGTGCCGAGGAAAATCAAAAACTTGCCCTGAAAAAAGTTTGGCAGGGCATAGAGGTGTGGGGCTGTGGCTTGGCTCTAGTGTGGGTCTTCCAGACACTAGGAATGATTAAGGCATTCGCTATGGCAAAGAGCAAGCGCTGAGCATTTCACAGACACCAAACTTGGTGAAGCCACCAATGGTGCCCAGTCCTTTTCTGTAGATAGCCAAATAAATGCAGTTATCTCTGGCTAGGTAAACAAGGACAAGGCTGGTAAATTCTATATGAATGTTTGCCCTTTATTGGTCTGTTTTACCTAGAAGATGCATATCTAGGAAAAAAAAAAGACCGATTTTCCCATGGTATCTTCAAAAAAGTTGGAAAGTACAATCTTAACAGGCCGTTTAAAACCTCAGAGAAATTAACTAAATGCCAAGAAATATGGAGAATTAAATATTTTTTTCACATAAAGAAACAATTATTGTACTTCATACTACATGCATATTTTTAAATAAAAAAGTCACATCAAGTCTGTATCAGAAAAATAAAGATTTGTGTAACATTATTAAGCAAAATAGCAATTATAAGTACTTAAGAAAAACATAAAGTATTATTTATGACAAGTTAATGGAAATTAGCATTAAGAATGACAATTTAAGGAGGATTTTATGATGTATTGCAGGTTTCAACCAGCTATAAATAGAAAAGCTATACAAGCCATAAAAATTGCACAATGCACAACTTTCAGTTCCAGGAATATTGCATTTGCAATCCTTGACTACAAATGGAGCTGCTTTCTGACGGTTAAGATAGATCTTCTGGGACCGTAATTAATGCAGACAATCCCAGGCCTTCCAAGTGAGTCAGACATTCTAAAATATGATATTATATGGGGCTTAATGTTGTGAGATTTTTATAAAATCGGTTATTGGTTGCTTTCCAGTTTTTGAGCTGTTAGGGTTCATAATTTCAAGGTATGTTACAGCACCATGAAGTATTTTTAAACTGGAAATAAAGATTATCATACAATCAGTGTGATATTAGTATTAGGACTTTCAGAAGACAAGCAAAATCACAAATATTGTGGAGCTCCCAATATGGTCATAAGAGTCTATGATGCCTACTGATGAGTTCATCATTGTGGCAACTCCTTAACTTACCACGCTTACTATTAACTCATGCTCAAATAGGGATATTTCAGAGAAAATCATATATATTCAGGATGCCTTGGTAATTGTCAGCAGTCCCTGAGGGCTTTGAAAACTTGTGCCTGTGAAAGGCAAGTGATCGCATGAGGAGATAGTTTGTTCCCCTCACAGAGCTGGCCTCTGCTGGGACTTCAGATGTTGCTCTCCTGCCTTACTCTTGCAACAGCCCTTCCTGAATCAACAGTTGCAGCTTTAGAAGAGTGGCTGTAGCTTTAGAAAAGTGGCTCCATCATGAGGCTCCTGCTCTGAGCTGGACAGCACGTGATGCGGGGTAATACCTGTGTCGAGGGACGCTGCCGGAGCACGGACTTCGCTAGAATCTAGGTCCGGACCCGGGAGGAGAGAGTCGAGGATGGACGTGTCCCTGTGCCATTGCTTTGCTGCTCCCACCTGAGGCTGACTGGGGTGCCTTTCGCTCCCTAAAGAAAAGATAAGGCTCAGGGGCTGCACGTGATGACAAAACGGAGACGCAGCATGTTCTGCTTACCCTGCCTGGCAGCCAGCAGGCCCATTAGGCAACACAGACTTCCAGGCTTAACGTGGCTTGAAAATATATCATGTCATTTCAAAGATTCCCCCTCACTTGATCAATATGTCTCCAAAGTCAGGAAAGAGGACAGCAACCTGAAGAATCCAGAATATACCTGCTGCTGCATTTGACCATGTGACACAGTACACCAATCCACGCAGTAAAACCTGGCATTCCGGCTGCCTCACCAGAGTCAGTGCCACAAGGCACAAGCTTACCACTTTAATTGAGCAATCAGTTTAGCAATTAAACCTCTCCAGTTCAAAAAAGACAGCCTTAATGGGAGATGGAAACAAAAGCTGGTAGGATAAGTAATGTAGGGGTCCACTCTGAGTAGATTAGGTCTGCACAATATATGCAATGAAATCAAATGACGACAGAAAAGTAACATATGCTGCTTGGTCCATCTAGAAGTCAGGCTGCACTTCATGGCCACACTTCTAGCTGCTCAGGGAGATGGCATGTATTTCCTGAATCACCACCAGGAATTGGTAGCATTGCTATGAGGATAAGGGAAACAGAGAAAAAGTAGGCATATTGCAAGAGTGTGTGAGAAAGGGACTCATAACAAGAGAGAAGCAAGATCTCATGGATACTGGTTCATTCAGGTGGTTGATTTATTGGCATAAATATACAGAATTTGAATCCACCTTGTGAGTTCCCCAAATTCTGCCCCAACCTTCTCAACTAAGCAGAATGGCTATGCTATAGCCAAAGTCTTACAGATTCTGTAATTCACTTCAAAGACTGGAGCTTATGGTTTTGAGCAGTGATGTATCTAGGCGGGATCAGGGGCAGAACCTGTGGAGTTAGATTGCTTCTGAACTATGGAAAATGCAGAGAGCAGGAGGGCAATGGAGATTCTGCCTGTGGTATAAGGCTTGGTCAAGAAAACTTTGTGTTCTGGAAAGTTTTGATCCTTGTAAAGGAAACAGTAACTTTTTTTTTTTTTTTTACCTCTACAAATTGACTAGTCATTAATTCCTTTAGAAAATTTGCCTAAAAACAACATAATCTTATTAGGGACACTGACATTTAAGGAAAAAATCAGAGCTACGATAGTTTATAAATTTGTAGCAATTAGAACATGACACATTTCCACATTATTTTTTAATTAATTGTTTGTAAATTCTTGCAAACTGCAAATATATAACAAACTGATAGAAAGCAACTTTGTATTTGAGGAAAATAATCTTGTTCCTGCTATGAACTGAAAGGACACGATTAAATGGACTATAAGAGGTACAAGGATAAATGCAGTAAAGAAATCCTAATGAACTGTAATGACAGTTAAAATGATGCAAGCTGTTGAGTTAAACAAGGCTTTGTAAAAAATATATATTAAATTATTTTTCTGATATTTATTTTATGAATCAATATTTTTCCTTGAAAATTTGTTTAGGAAACTTCAGTCTTGAACTATCAGTTATAGGAAACAGTTGAGCAATGTCTTTGGTTTGTTTGCTTTTTGTTAGTAGAAAGGATTTCCTTGCAATGCAACAATTCATGTTACCACGTTATTATACCTACACGTGACATGTGACATGACAATTTACAGGCAGTATTGTGGAGATAATTTGCAGGACGCACATGTGATTTACAGAAATTACTTCTTTGCTCTATAAAAAGCTTGTCCTTTATAAAAGTCAGTGATAGTTTTGTCAGTAACTTGGTAAGAGGAGGAATAACTGTCTTTAAAAGTTAATATGCAACTATGTAGAGCTAGTAAAAGACAATGAGTTAATTTCTGAAAATAAGTAGCTTAATTTTCAGGGCCATTCACAAATTATATATAAAAAAAAAGAGAAGAATTTCTGTCAATCAGTTCACACCACTTCTTACTGAAGTTACAAAAGGAGTGGACCAAAGCATAATGGGTCAAATTATGATCTCATTTTTGTTGACAGATACCCAGAGTAACTCTTTTGAGTTTAAAGAAGCTCCTCAGGAGTTTCATCAATCTAAATTACGTTAAAATCTGATATGCTGAATGCATAAAAAGTAGTTTGGTTTGTGACTTTCAAAAACATCATTCACAGCAAACATGGTCATTCTTTAAAACGGTCCCTTCAGAGTACTTTGTATCTGCAATATATAATCTTAAATCTATTTTATAATCATAGTAGCTCCATCTAAGTCTTCTGAAAAGGAGACATCCTGGAATACAGTGAGGACTGTATTTTTTCTTTGTTTCAAGTAAGTGCTGCCACAGTAAATACATTGAGCAAACAAAACAGAATGAATATCACCATCTTTCAGTTAAATTACTCTGTGTTATATAGCATGGTGCTGTTTTGAGAAGTCCACGGAATTTTGCCACAGCCTTGAATAAAGCTGGTATTTCATTCACATTACAAAAGCACATCAAAAACACTGCTAACCACCAGGTAGCCTCATAAAGGCACAGAGTTGCTTGCTGGCCTTGCCTCACTGGCATCTTTAAACCAACGGGGCTACAACAACATCACAACTCTCTGCCCAGCAGGAGACTTTCTGGACTCGCATGTCCCTTTCCTGTTTTTTTTTTCCTTGCTGGTTGTTGAGAGTTTTAATCACATGGACTAACTGCATCAGTGCCTGACTTGAAGCGATGAGGTATGTCAAGGTCACCGTTTAACAAGTGCGGATGGATTAAGTTTTGTTTGTTACTCTCAGTGGAATCATGTGAAGCCTTTGATTCTCTGTAAATTTGTTTTGGAGAATTGGACTTAGTAGAAGAAAAGCTGAAGTTTTATTTGATGGGTTGGCCAAGAGACTCTAATGACGGAAAGCTTTGATTTTCCCAGTCAACATGCCATCGCTCTCAGGTGCCCGGACTAAGTGATGTGAATGAAAAAGCTAAAGAAAGGAAAGAGCTTTAAAGCTCTCCAGCACTAAGCCTGAGCAAATATAAACCCCGCTGTCACGCCAGGGATGGTACCACGAAGAGCAAACCATTCTGGACAAACAGCCTGAGTGAGGTATTGGGAAAATCCTGTTGTTACGTACGGTGAGTCTGAATCAGACAGAAACTAAAGCTGATTTCTGGCAAGCACCTAATGCTCCACCAGAGTCACTGAGAGGAGTAACTGTCTGCTTGCACATGTACCTGCTTTCCATGGCATGGGAAGCAGCAGTCATGCAACACCTGCCACTATTAAACGTGCCCCGTGGCCAATGAGCTGGGAGAGGGGCCAACACGAGGCTGCTTCAGCTTATCTGGTAGAGAAAGGGAGCCCTATTAGCCAGCAAGTGCTTCCTGCAGCCTCTTCATTTCCCGTTATGCAACACATATTTTGCACCAGGAAATACTGAATTTGGTCAATTAAATCAATCCTTTTCTTTGTGGTCCTTGGAGTCTATGGCATCAGTTGTTCCCACATTTGCTTGTGCTTTCCAATGCATAATTATCACCAGGGAATATACCCTGCGGAAAACATTCCAAGGAATTCCCTTATTTTTTTCCCATTGGGATTTCTTAAAGAAAAAGTGTAGTTGTAGCTTCCCAATGGAATGTTTATCACACCCTATATACTGTTCACAGGAACTTTCTCAGTTGTTCAGTAAATTAGACCCATTTCTTTAATGATCGCTGTCACAAATTGAATCAACTGTATGCTGTGTTGTCTGAAAGTCCTAATCAAATCACAATTTTAGTTGACTCTCAGCTTTTAGTTAAGATCTAAACCCTTTCATACTTCATTTTCAGTCAACTACTTAGAGAAAAGTATTATTTCTAATAAAGATTGCCTTAAAAGATTTTACAATCTTTACTTAATCTCCTAAATATTTGGCACTGCACATCCTTGCAATCTTGAAATTATTACTGGTTTTGCAATGACTTCTTTTATTATTTTATTACACAAGACTGTTGTACTTTGTCATTTGTAGGACATTACCTCAGACTTACTCAGGTACAAACATGGACTTCTAGGATGATCAGGGGAATAGAGAACTCATCATATGAGAAGAGAGAACGAACAGCTTGGCTGGTTTAGCTTAGCAAAATAAAGGCTGTTAAGGGATCTAGTTGCTAACTATAAATATATCAGAGAGGCAAACACCAGAGAGAGGGAAGAGGCCTTTAAACTAAATAGAAATGTTGGCAAGGAAACCCATTGACATAGTGTTACCATTTATGTTAGAAACTTGAAAAAGGTTCTCACTTAGAAGCATGAGATTTGGGAACAACTTTCCCAACAATAGAGCAATTGCCACAAAAAAATCCTAGCTGCCCTTAGTGTGGGACTTGATAAATTTATGTAGGGGATTATAAAATGTGATGCCCTCAGTATTAGGAAAATATATTTGATGACCTACGAGATCCTTTGCGGGCCTGCGTTCATGTGTAAAACTATCATAAATCATGCTGATTCTGTAACCTTCAGCTATGCAAACTTCAGAACAAGATATGGCAATGTGCCAGTAAAATAATTTTATCTATCACAATGACAGTAAGTTCAATAGAACTACAACATTTTACAAATAATCATTTTTATAGACATTTGGCCATCAGTGAAATTCCCGAGATTATTGGTAATTAGCAATACTTGTCCTCTAGTACTGATTTAAAATTTATTGGAAAATTCATACAATATTTTATCCATGACTTTAAAGCTTTTGGAGCTGAAGTTGAATTGTTATTTCTGGTATTTTGCTCTAAGCTACAAATTAATTAAAAACAAGTACATTTTTTTGCTAATGCATTTTACATTGGAAAAGATCCAAAAGATATAGCCAAAGCAACAGAATTACGGTTGTTTCTCATTTAGCATGGGTTGTACATGTAAGAAGAAAAACACTGTTAAAAAACAATGAGAGTTGTTGGAGAAACTTTATAGAACTTTAGGTTCTTTTTCATTAAAAATAGCTTTTCCTGAAGTACCTGTGAACTTCAAAGCACAGAGGTTT